AAAACAAAATATTTGGTCATCAAAAAGGCAGAAGAAAATAAAAACCAAATTTTTAATAAACCCCATATTTATGATCAACCAATGAACCTTCATGAAAAGCTTGATTTAAACTTTACCCAAAGAGAAGCAAAGGGAGCTTAGACACCGGTGTGAGCCTGAGAAGGGATTGCCCCTGGAGCTTGGGTAGAGAGGGACCAGCGAGCATTAGGGGCTCTGAAAGCCGAGGGCACTGGGTGTGCTTCTGAGTTCAAACAGACCCTAGGGGAGAGGAGGCGTTAGACTCTCACAGCCCGCAGAGCCCTGAGAGTCCCAGCACAGTCCCAGCAGGGGCCCCCCCAAGCCTCATGCCCCCCCACTGTACAGGAACAGCACAGTAACCTGGGGATCTCCAAAGAGCGTGGAAGAAGCGAGGAGAAGTGCAGAAGCAGAAGGGACTTGCGGACAGGGAAACAAAAGCAAATGTAGCCGAATCCGGTTTGGCTTAGTGCATAGAGTGTCAGCCTGTGGACTGAGGGTCCTGGATTTGATTCCGGTCAAGGGCATGTACCTTGGTTGCAGGCACATTCCCAGTGGGGGGCGTGCAAGAGGCAGCTGATCGATGTTTCTCTCTCATCCATGTTTCTAACTTTCTATCCCTCTCCCTTCTTCTCTGTAAAAAATCAATAAAATATATTTTTAAAACAACACAAAAAAACAAAAAGCAAATGTAAGGGGGAGGGGGTCACGGGAGGCCATTCATCCTAAGCCTCGAAGAATCCCTGAGTAATTTTTCAGTGGTGATGACAAATACCCAGGCAAAAATAAGCAAGCCCACAAGAACAGACAGATAACGGGGAGGGGAGGGGGATGTTGGGAATCAAAGGAAAATCTAGATCCTAAAGCAAGATAAAAAAGAATTCTCCAATGAATTCTGTAGCTATTTATGCAACCAATATGTATTAAGCACCTATTCTGTGCCAGGCTCTATGCCAGGTTGCCGGGCACGCATGCCATTTCAGCTGTGATTAACCAATCACCCAGGGATGAAAAGTTAGTGGAACTGCCATTATATTTATGTTTACTTACTGTTCATTTCTGTGTTTTCCTAAGACTTCCAAACGTGAGGGCCCGTGAGTGCCCATTATTTAGTGATAGGTTTTGAAACACACAGTAATCTCCTAGGACTGAGATTGACACTGTTGATTCCTTTCCCAGGCTTTCAGTCCCTAAAGGTTCCATGTTCGAGTTAAGCCTAATTATCCCCTAAGCAGGGCCACAGGGCTACATGCAGAAGCAGAAAAGTGATGAAAGACAAGGAAAACTACCTCAGAGACTAAGTCTATCAAAGTTAAGTACCTGTAAAAGCCCAAACAGATAATCTTAAGAAAAAGGTGTGAATTAGACATTAACTTTAAGGTAGATCTGGAAACAGCTGACGGCACAGGAGGGTGGAAAGAATTTAGTCCATAATTTACTTATACATAGATTGCCTTTCTTGGCCCGTGGTCTGCAAACTGCGGCTCAAGAGCCACATGTGGCTCTTTGGCCCCTTGAGTGGGCGAGTCTGTTTTTAAAGAAGTGGCATTAGAAGTTTAAGTTTAAAAAATTTGTCTCTCAAAGGAAATTTCAGTCATTGTACTGTTGATATTTGGCTCTGTTGAGTAATGAGTTTGCCGACCACTGTTCTTGGCCAAGGTGGTTGGCAAACTCTTGCTAATATTTGGGTTACTCTGGTGCATTTTTACACTAATTATCAACCTTTGTCTCCTGACTAGCTTTTCACAATAAGGATTTAGATAGCCTCCACCCTTCAACATTTGCTTGTTCTTATTATATATAATATAAATATTCTGGTGGTTGTCACTTACTGAGCCTTCAGAATGGTATGACTTGTGCTTTCTTCTCCTTGTTTGCCAGACCACAGCAGTGTCATCATAATAATAATAACAACAACAATAACAACAACAACAACAACAGCTACTTACTCTTGGCCTGGAGCTGTACAAGACACACCTGTAGGAGTTATTTACTCAGAACAATTGTAAGGGCTAAGTCACTGCTACTACCTTTCTGTGCTCAAAGTTGGACAGACCTGAATTCAAATCCTGTCCTGCTTTTGTCCTAAAAGATGAGACTCAGTTTCCTGGATGAAGGCTACCCTGGGGATGCAATGAAATACAGTGAGGCTGAGGACCTGGCCTCTACAAGCTGCCATGGTGACTCTCCATTGTGAAATTCATGTCTTGCCTTACGCAGCAACTTCAACTACTAGCTAGACAACCTCTCGAATTTCTGAAGAGTGTTACGCTGTCAATACCCCTTCACTTCCTTCCCAACCACTGGCTTGTCTGATCCTCTGGAAAATATTTTAATACCTTAATATTGACTTTTTGAGATTGTCCAGTTACTTCAGGACATAGTAACTGTTTGTCAGCCTTGAAAAATGCTAATCCAGGAAATGATGCAAAAAGAAAGGACCAGGACTTGGCCTTTCTTTCCAGTCCTCTGAAGGCAGTCTGCCTCCTTCCTTCTCCTAGCTTTATGTGTGTAAGGGGTGTGAGGGTGGCCAGTGTTGGAGGCAAGTCAAGTGGGGGGCGGGGAGGGGGGTAAGAAGGGATGTGATACGTAGGTGTCCTAGGTTTCCAAAAAAGAAATGTGCCACCTTCCCTTATGAAAGAACATGTCTCTTTTTCTTTTTCTCGAGCTTGTGAGAAAATCCTCCTACTTTCCCTTATTTAAACAAAACTACGTACTTACACTCTTCTCACAGCCGTCTGGATTAAAAGGCTATATTCATCAATGTGACAGAAAGTCCTGGGAAAGATGTATTCACCCAGTATACCGCCCGGCACACAGTAGGAACTCAACAAATATGTGAAGTTACTGTAGTGTGTCCTCTGCTGGTAATGCAGAAAACAATGCAATGGTTCCTCACTTTTATTAATAGATAGCCCCTCTATCAGCAAGATTCACCTGTCAAACGATTAATTAGTTGAGACGTCACACAGGTGGACAGATTTGTGTTTGGCCTGCAAGGTTTCAAAATACATTTTGAAATACCATGTATTACATTTCATCCCCAGAGTAGCTTTCATACACATTCATATACATTTATAGCTGGCTTGCTCCACCCAAGAGTATCTTCCTGGTCCTGGGAACTTGTGCTGGTGCCTGGATTATAAATGTGTTCTCGAAATCAAAGTTCACAAGTCCTGTTAGCTATATCAGGTGTTAATTTGATCCTTAGAAAGACTCTTCCCCCCCCCCCACACACACACACCACCACCACCAAAACAAAAGCTAGAAGGTTCAAAATGTGTAAATACACAACCCAAACCCTCCAGCCCTCCAATTCTCTCTGAAAACTTGACTCTGCAGTCCCCACTATCAGCTTGTAAAGCCCCATTCTCAAACCCTCCACTTCTCGGGTCCTTGCTAACCAGAGGCATGGAGAGGAAGGACCAGGGCCCCTTCTCTTCTGATGCCTGAAAAAGCCCTCCCACCCCCAGCAGAACTGGGAAGGAATTCTTGACGCAAGCAGGGAGGAAGCTTTAAAACGCCACTGACATAAAAGGCTACTAAATGCCACAGTCGCTTGCCGTTTAGGAGGTGCCATTTAGAATGTTATAGAAATCAATCAAATTAAAGAGGCCTAAAACGCAAGTGATTTTCATTTGACACTTTTTAAATATATATATATATATATATATATATATATATATATATATATATTACAATACTGAGAGTCTTCCCACTTAAAAATAAAAATCATTCCTATAAAGGCAGATAGATCGTGACCATTCTCCCTTTTCACATGGATGCGACCTCCCTCCTGGATCCTCCTTTGTTGGCCCAGTGTGGCCCCCTGAAACCACAGAGCCCCCTTTCCCTCGCTGCTCAAGCCCATGCTCCTCCACTCTCCTTCCCCCAGTCTGGATTTTCCATCTCTCCTCAAACCCACCACAAATACTCCTTAAAGATATTTCAGTAACAAGCATTATATAATATTTATAGTTATGGCATGATTATACATTACTGATACATTAATGATACATTACTACTTGTAGTAATGAATATTTATTTAGCGCCTACTATGTGCCAAGCACAAGTTTAACTATTCAAGAGAAGTCAGTCCATTGAGCTACCCCTCCACCTTCACCTGAGGCTTGCAGTTTGGTAAAGATGAGTGCCCAGCAGTCAGACTGCCGGCTGGGGTCTTAGGAAGGCTTGCTGACCACCTCCGCTGTGGTCCAAACGCTATCTACAAGGCTCCTTGAGACTGTGATTACTGCTGCCACATGTAAGGATGTGACATTGACAGAAGCCCCCGTTGCTAAGCGGGAAAGGAACTTCTGTCTTGGGCAAGCCCTCTGCTTCCCATCCAAGGGATGCCCGGGTGATTCCTGATAAAACGGAGCCTCCTCAAGACCATCCCCTCATCTGACTCCCAGACGAAGGAGGCGTCTCCCCTGCCTGGACCTGAGGTGCCACCAGAGCTCACGGGGAGCTGCATTAAGCGAAGGGTTCAATCCTGCCCGTGTAGACAAGCCATTGCCTCCAGTAAGCCTAGATCACTGCAGTTTCCTCCGTGCAAGTCCGTCCTCAGAGCTCCCGACGAGAAGGGTCAATGGACAAAGTTCCAATGACCGTGGCCCGGGTGCGCCCCGAGGCCAGCCCCGGCCGAAGCCCTCCGCCGCTCGCTGTCGCCCGGGAGGAAAGGCGTCCGGAGAGGCTCCTGGGGAGGGAAGGACACGTCCCCCCGCGGTCCTGCCTCTGGACCGGGACCCGCTCTGCAGGCTCCGGGGCTGCGCGGCGCGGGGCTCCCGGAGGCTGGGGCGCCGGCGGCGAGGCTGCCCCGGGATCCCGGCCGCGCGCTCCAGCCGCCCTCCTCCCGGCCCTCCGCTCCCTCCTCCTCCTCCCCCGGCCCCCAGCCTCCGCGCCGGGCTGCTCCTCCCGGGGAGGGGGGGATCCCGGGGCCGCCCGGCTGGAGGGAAGAGGGAGGCGGGCGACTCGAAGCCTACCGTCCTCGGCTTCTTGACCCCCGACATGCCGGCGGCGCGCTGGCCTCGGAGCCGGTGCTGGGTGCGGAGACGGAGGGCGCACTGCTGCCGGCCTCCCGGGAAGGAGGAATAAAAAGGCTCCGCAGACACGTCGCACTTCCCTTGACCAGCCCCCTCCTCCTACTCCTCCTCCCGCCGCGCGCCTCTCCGCCCCGTCGGCTCCCTCCGCCGGCAGCGCCCAGCCCTGGGGACCGGCCGCCGCCTGGGCGGGGTCCGACCGCGCTCCCCACCCGCGGGAGCGGCTGGGCCGGCTCGGGTCCGAAGCAGGACCTGGCAGCCCGAGGAGCAGACCCACAGGCTGTGCGCGGAGCCCAGGGTCAAGTTCAGCCTCTCCTTTCCCACTCCTAGCTGGTCCCAGAGCATCCCCCGCCCCACCCCACCCCCACCCTACTCCCACCCCCATCCCCACCACCCCCATCCCCATCCCCATCCCCACCCCTGTCCCTATCCCCATCCTCATCCCATCCCCATCCCCATCCCCCCATCCCCATCCCCACCCCATCCCCACCCCAATCCCCATTCCCCCATCCCCATCCCCCCATCCCCATTCCTACCCTGATCCCTATCCCCATTCCCCCCAATCCCTATTCCCATCCCCTCCTGTCCCTATCCCCATCCCCATCCCCACCTCAATCCCCATTCTCCCATCCCCATCCCCATTCCCCCATTCCCATCCCTACCCACTCCCTCCCCATCCCCCCCACCGCTGTTCCTATCCCCATCCCTATCCCACCCCCATCCCCATCCCCATTCCCCCATCCCACCCCCATCCCCATCCCCATTCCCCCATCCCCATCCCCATCCCCATTCCCCCATCCCCATTTCCACCCCCACCCCCATCCCCATTCCCAAACATCCCCATCCCCTCCCCCACCCCCATCTCCATCCCCATACCATCCCCATCCCCACCCCCATCCCCATCCCCATACCATCCCCATCCCCACCCCCATCCCCATTCCCACCCTCATCCCTATCCCCATCCCCCCCAATCCCTATCCCCACCCCCACCCCCATCCCCATCCCCATTCCCATCCTCACTCCCATCCCATCCCCGAGCCTCTTCCTGCCTCTGGGACCCAGAGTTTATTTGGTTAAGGACAAGGATGCTTGAAATCTCCAGACTCCTTGGCATGGTCCTGGGGGAATTAGGGGGTTGGAGGTGAAGGGCACGGACACCCAGCTCACGAGATCACCCGCAGTTCTAACAGCGGCGGCCAGCTTTGACTCATCCTCACTCTGCTGAGTTCTGCCTGCAGTCTCACACGCCCCCCGCACCACACATTGCCCCCTACATCCTCCTCATTTTACAGGTGAAGCAGCTGAGGCTTTAGATGACATTCCCGGTGAGGGGATTCCAAGCCGAGCTGCCAGCCTGGGCAGCCCGGGTTTTCTATGCCTGTGCCATCATACACAATGAGGATAACTCACTTAGTCGGGATGCTGGCCCGTGTGTTAAGAGTCAGGCGTGGTGCGAAGGGGGTTATATGCATGCCCTCCTTTGGAGCACACATTTTCCTGTGTTACAGACCAGCTGGCTGAGGCTCTGCTCCTTCTCACAAAGTCAAGCAAGCGAGGCCAGTGGCCTCAGAAGATGGCCAGTGGTAGCGCAGGGACTCCCCCAAATATTCCTATAGTGTTTCTATGTGTTTGGAAAGAGCAGAAGGATGTCCAAGGTGAGAAGGCTTAAGGCTAGACCCCAGGGCTCCAAGGTCTTATCAGAGGTCAGCTTAAGGCCACTCTATTTAAGAGCTTGTCTGGGACAAGCTGAGGTAGGAGGAGAGGAGCTGGGATTAGTGACAGGCACCTTGAGGACAATAACTGGGCCTCATACTACCCCTTTGTATCCGGGCTCCTGGCATTGCATAATACCACAAACAGAATAGGACGTTCAGGGAAAGAACAGTGAATATACAAGAGCCACACTGCTCACTCCAACTCTGAGAGGACAGGAGAAGCTTACTCTATAGGGGTGAGGGATGGAACTTTTCTTTCATACCTAATTGTCTGTCTGGAAGGCCAGCTCTTTGGACAAACACCTGAAGATCTGAGTGATCATTGTCTGCCCTTCTTCTCCATGGAAAGATGGGGAAGGAAAATAAATCGGGAGTCAAAAACTTAGAAGGCAGCCTACATGTTTTCACAGTGTCCAAATGTCAGTCCGTATATTTATTTTCTTACTCATTTGGAGTAAGCTGCCACCACTCCCTTCAACTGCTAGAGGGGAAAAACCGGGTTTGAGTTTCTGTACTGGATGCAAAGGAGCACGTTTTGAATTCATGCGATTTAAACAGTAATATCCTATTCTAATTTCATTGGAGAAAAACAAAACAAAAACATTTGTATCAGTTCCAACCACATCTTGGACTGTGCCAGATCCTGCCCTAGGAGAAAAGGTAAATTAAGTACCAATGGAGAAATAGTAATTTGCATAATTGGTTTTTAGTGTCTTTTTTTTTTTTTTTTTAACTTTAAAAACCCCCAGGTTCTTGAAAAGAAGGAAGTTAAAGGCAAATTCCTAGGACTGCTCCCCTGTAATTTATAGGAGGGCAATAATCTGGGTGCTGAGATAAGGGGGAATCTGAACTTAGCATCTAGTTGGACAGAGTTGAGACTCAAACCCCAAATGCTCTGTGCATGGCACCCACAGCGTCTGGGTCAACTACTTCAAGACCCATGATCATTGTAAATTACCTTGCTTTAGATTTGATTAATTCTCAAGTAGTGCTTTCAGAACAGATATTATTTTACTGCTTCCAAAGACCTGTGAAATAGGAGGCCTGAGCTCCCTTGGGCCTGAGCTGTGGGTTGTTTGACATCATCAGTGTAGATGCAATGCAACATGGCAACTCACTGAGATGCAAAATATTCTCTCTCTGTCTCTCTTTTTTTTTATTTTTTTTTATTATACTCTTTCAAGGTTTTTCTTTTAAAGGGATCGGCTTGAAATCTTTTTCATCTCACTACCTTAGGAGAGGACATTCCTTCTGAAACCATATGAACAGCGAGCAGCTTCATTTTTGGAGTCTATGGTTCCAGAACCTCAGAAATGGGAGAAGCCTCATTCAGGGAAGAGGAGGAAGGCTTGGGCTCATCCTTTCCTATGGACACCCTCTGCTTAGCTTTCTCCCAGACTCCACTGTGAAACTCTGCGGCCTACTACCCTGATTGTGCCAACTCATATTCCTTGAGACTACTCACAACATTTTACTCGATCCTTGAGACTTAGTCACAACATTTGCATGAGGTTGTGGGGTTTTTTTATTTCCTTCCAGGAATTGCATGAGCTTTAATAATTAACTTAATGAGGTGGTGACTTTGTCCTTTTTGTGTTGAAAAGATGGTATAAGTCATCTCACCCAATATACAAAGAATGCCAGTGTTGATGAGATGTTTATGCCTTAGGTTCTCCAACACATTTGTAGGTGAGAATGGGGGGACTCATCACATTTTAGGGGGACAGGCTTTGAGGCACTGCCCTTCCATGATCATTCCAAAGAAATGCAGCTACATTGCCCCCTAGTGGCTGTGATCCTCCGAGACTTAATGATTGAAACCCGCTGTGCAAAAGTAAGTTCATCCCTTCCCTTGGGTCAAGAATTCACTCTTGGTTAGGATCCACTCTTCCCAAGCACAGGAGACACCAAGATCAGCAAGATGGGGTCTCTGTCTTCAAGGAATTCACTATCGAGTGAAGGAGACAGACTGTGTTCCCCCAACCTGACCCCAATCATTTCAACTCAGTACATGACATGTACAGGAAAAAAAATGACATTTTATTTTGACACAAAAGACACGCACGTCACTGATCTTTAATGTAGGGCTAAAGGCTTCTATTGTGGTATGGGTATGCTGGTGGGAGTTCCAAAAATCGCTCATAAGGTGTTTTCAACAATTTCCAGTTTGGGATTTTATAAGGTGGAATTAAAAGTCAAGAGCACTTAAATAATCTGAGAGGAGATGCCAAGATTTTTCTATACCCCTTCCTCATCTTTGTCTGTTCTCTCGCCTACACCCAATTCACCAGTACTATTTTTTTTAGCAGCTTATCTTTCCAAAGGACCCATTCATAGAAAACACAGTTCTTTTTTTTTTTTTTCCCACTCGTATACTATTTAGTTAAGTCACATCTACTAAATGACTTATTTACAGTCACAAGCACAACTGGCATTAATAGCGTTGGGAACAAATGCAATGGATCCTGGTGAGCACCCAGCTTAGGAGTGGAGTGCAGGAGTGTGTGGGCATTCCTGTGCCTCCTATTGTCAATAGCATTCAGTGTGCTGTGGGCACCAGTCATTATCTCTTCCAGAAGAAACTGAGAGCGTAGATTAAACTGGTCAGTTAAAAGAAACGACACATTGGGAGCACAGAGGAGAGACAGCCAGTCAATTAATATGATCTCTGGAACTCTGGAAGGAGGGGAGTGATGTCAGCCTTCCTTGAGGAAGATTTGATACATGAACTGAGATTTGAAAGAAGGCTTGGTTTTGCCAATCCTCTTCCCAAAGTGAGGTGTATGTTAATTAGAAAATTTAAAGACAGAGTGCTGCATGAAATCACCTGGTATGTTCAGAAAATGATAAGCATCAGCATTGCTGAGTTTAGGAGATGCAATAGAAGTGGGGGAGTTGTTAGAGAGGATCTGTCATATACAATCAGGCGGCTACCTGATTTTGTGTGCTCTCTTCTTCATGTCCATCAGAATGCATCAGCCATACGGCTGGCCTTCCATTAGTCATGGGACACTTCTCATGTCCAAGGATGAGAAGCCACTGTCCATGGTCTGGTGAGGCAGATGGACATGTACATAAATAATTCCAAGGGAATGTGATAAGTGCCTGAATATAGGTATATTTGAAAGTACACACACCAAGGCAGTTGACTTAATTATGAAGAAAGTCCAATGGATGGTGACCATTTAATCTGAGTTTCAATGATAAAAGAAATACAATTTCCAGTTTGGGATTTTATAAGGTGGAGTTAAAAAT